ATAATAAAGTTTTTAAAAGTAGTTAGTCTATTATTATGTATAAACTTATCTTTTATTACTTTACTTAGTCTATTATAAAATATATAGTAAAGGGCTTTTTAATCTATCTATCTACAGATAGCTAATTATTTCTAAAAGTGTACTACATAGTTCTAAGCTATACTATTACCTTATTTTAAGGTGTTTAGTTTATCTACTGTAATTTTTTATTTATCTATAGTTTTATAAATAGCTTTTAAAGCTTTTTTAAAGTTTTTAACACTACTAAATACCTCTTTTATTTTAGAAGTAAGTGTTACGCTATTAGCTCTAAAGTCTATCTAGTTATCTGCGTGTAGTTAGAACTAGATTATAGAGAGACCTTTTAAGTGCAGTTCTATCTAGGATATTATTTCTACATTAGTCTAAAATGCTTCTTTATTATATTATATATAAAAGTAGCATTTAGTAAAGAAAGAGTAAAGGTTTTTTAGTAATTCTTTAAAAAGCTTTAAAAAAGCTAGTCTTAAAGTTTTTTTAGCTATAATGCTTATTTTCTTAGTTAAAATATTCTAAAGTTTAGCTAGTTTTACTTATAATTTATATATTTAGTAGGTGTAGTTAGTAGCTTATTAAAAGTTTATAGGCTAAAAAAGGCTATAAGTTTTTATTACTTTTTAGTAAAAGCTTATAACGTACTTCATAGGCGAGTTGCTTACACACCTGAGTTGCTTACTTTTGCTAAGACCCTACTAAACCACCCTTCTTACACTAATGCATTCCCTATAACACTACTTAGACGCGCTAAAAGAACATTAGATATAGCTTATGCTCTAAGCTTTTAAATAAGATATAAAACTTTTAAAAAAATATGCTATAGCTATGTATAAAGTCCTATAAAAGATAATAAATAACTATAGCACTAGATAACTTTTATAAGCTAATTCTACAGCTAAATTATAAAGGCTAGGCAATAAAAAGAAGCAGGTAATTATTAAGACTATACTTAAGCTATATGCACAAGGAATTTCCCCTTAGATAGCATTTATAGCTAATATAGCTAATTCTTTACACGCTAAGCGTAATCTAGGCTATGTTTGTATAAACTAGCCTAGTATGTTTGTAAAGTGTTATTTAAAGCTTAAAGTAAAGTTTTAAGTATAAGTATAGTTAAAAAATATCTAGCTAATTATAAACCTTATTTTGCTAAAGTTATATGTATTATTATTCTAAATGCTATACTTAGCTTTAATATTCTCTATAAGGCTAAACCTGCTTTAAATTACTCTAAGACTCTTATAAAAGGCTTTTTTATAGTTATACTTACACTTAAATGTTACTTTAAGCTTTAAATAACACTTTATAAACATACTAGGCTAGTTTATATAAACATAGCCTAGATTATACTTAGCGCGTAAAGAATTAGCTATATTAGCTATAAATACTATCTAAGAGGAAATTTCTTATGCATATAGCTTAAGTATAGTCTTAATAATTACCTGCTTTTTTTTATTACCTAGCCTTTATAATTTAGCTGTAGAATTAGCTTATAAAGGTTATCTAGCGCTATAGTTATTTATTATCTTTTATAGAACCTTATATATAGCTATAGCACATTTTTTTAAGAGTTTTATGTCTTATTTAAAAGCTTAAAGTGTAAGCTGTATCTAACATTTTTTTAGCGCGTCTAAGTAGTGTTGTGGGGAATGCATTAGTGTAAAAAGGGTGGTTTAGTAGGGTCTTAGCAAAAGTAAGCAACTTGGGTGTGTAAGCAACTCGCCTATAAAGTACGTTAACCTTTTATTAAAGACTTACTAGTTTACTTATTTCTTTTTTAATCTACTAGAGTTTTTTAATGTTGTTCTAAATTATATTAATCTGTTTTACTAGAACAGCTTTACTTTAGGTTAGAACTTCTGTAGATCCTAATAAGGCTATGTAGGCTATGTTAGTATCTAAGTTATGTTATGTAGTTATACTTTTTAAAAGGGGTAACGTACTTCATGGGCGAGTTGCTCACACACCTAAGTTGCTTACTTTTGCTAAGACCCTACTAAACTACCCTTTCTACACTAATGTATTCCCTATAACACTACTTAGACGCGCTAAAAGAATATTAGATACAGCTTACACTCTAAGCTTTTAAATAAGACATAAAACTCTTAAAAAAAATGTGCTATAGCTATATATAAGGTTTTATAAAAAATAATAAATAACTATAGCACTAGACAACTTTTATAAGCTAATTCTACAGCTAAATTATAAAAGCTAAGTAATAAAAAAAAGTAGGTAATTATTAAGACTATACTTAAGCTATATGCACAAGGAATTTCCTCTTAAATAGCATTTATAGCTAATATAGCTAATTCTTTATGTGCTAAGCATAATCTAGGCTATGTTTACATAAACTAGCCTAGTATGTTTATAAAGTGTTATTTAGAGCTTAAAGTAACATTTAAGTGTAAGTATAACTATAAAAGAGCTTTTTATAAGAGTCTTAAGGTAATTTAAGGCAGGTTTAGCCTTATAAAGAATATTAAAGCTAAGTATAGCATCTAGAATAATAACATGTATAACTTTAGTAAAATAAGGTTTATAATTAGCTAAATATTTTTTAACTATACTTACACTTAAAACTTTACTTTAAGCTTTAAATAACGCTTTACAAACATACTAGGCTAGTTTATGCAAACATAGCCTAAATTACGCTTAGCGCGCAAAGAATTAGCTATATTAGCTATAAATGCTATCTAAGGGGAAATTCCTTATGCATATAGCTTAAGTATAGTCTTAATAATTACCTACTTTTTTTTATTACCTAGCCTTTATAATTTAGCTGTAGAATTAGCTTATAAAGGTTATCTAGTGCTATAGTTATTTGTTATTTTTTATAAGACTTTATATATAGCTATAGCACATTTCTTTAAGAGTTTTATGTCTTATTTAAAAGCTTAGAGCATAAGCTGTATCTAACATTCTTTTAGCGCGTCTAAGTAGTGTTGTAGGGAATGCATTAGTGTAGGAAGGGTAGTTTAGTAGGGTCTTGGCAAAAGTAAGCAACTCAGGTGTGTGAGCAACTCGCCTATGAAGTACGTTAGTGTTTAATGTTATAATCCTTACTTCCTAGAAGCACTTAAGTTAATAATGTTCTTATAAAAGAGGGGAGTAGAACAGATAATAGAGGCTAACAGTAGGGTCTACAGTCCTACGTAAGAGCTATTAGGCTAATAGAGGAAGTAAAGGTGACTAGATTATAGTTTACTCTATTTACAGCAGTATAGTAGCTAGGTTAAACAGTCCTGTTAGACAAGGTTAGAGGTATATATGTTATAAGATATATAAATAGTATTATAGCTCTTTAAAAAGCTAAATGCTACTTAGTCTATATAAAGAATAAACTAAACATTAAACACACCTCTTAGAAGTTATTTAAAATAGAGACTATATACATGTATAAAGAGCGCTAAGGCGAGTTAGACAAGTTTACATAAGCCTGCTAAGAAGAGCTTTATAGGCTCTCTTAGACTCTGTTAGACTTGTGGCCTGCTCTTTTATTAGACAACACATTCTTCCATCACTGCAGGCAGCTGCGCAGCCTCTGTGTTCTCCGATTGGTCCATAAGCGAGCCCTGCTCCAACCTGATACGATTGTGGAGCACCGCGGATGGAGTTACGCTGGTCCAACTGTAGACTGTAACACAAATCTCCTTAATAACCTTAAGCTGCAGAGAGTACCACTGCAGCTTACTCTAATAACCTAACCTCTACTTATTCCTCTAGCGCTTGTCTAGCTTAGCAATAGAAGGCTAGCCCTACAGGCCTACTGTCTATTTGCGCTAGAGATCCTCCACAGTCCTCACAGCGCGGCACATGCAATGCTTTAGTGCAGGTTCTAGCTCAGGCGCCAGCTCAAGCGCTGCTGGCAGAGGCGATGGGCTAGGCGAGCGCGCAGACGGCGTAGGCGCGATGCTGGCCTGGGCAGAGGTATACCTGCTTGAATCTACGTCTGCCAGCGACGGCGGCGCAGCTGCTGTGTGCCTGAGTGGAGGTGGTGGCAGCAGCAGACCGCCCTGCGCCTGCAACGCCTCCAGGCAGAACATAAGGCTGCTAGACATAAGCACCTGCAGCTGCTAAGACTATAATCTCTACAGCTTACACACATAATTAAGCTTTTTTTTAAGCTCTCTTTTAAGCTCTTTTATTTACTACTTATTTTAAGCATCTAGCGCTTAGAGCTAGTTAGCAAGTAAGGGTATTACCTAGTACAGGACTAATAGCTAACTAGGAGCTACCTCTGTGTTAAAAGACACATTAATGTCCTAAGTAAAAGCAGCGTACGCTCTATGCTAGAACACTAGGTGGTTCTACATAGGGTGGCTAGGGAAGTGCTAGCGCAGTGTAACTAAGTTTTAAAGGATTACCTTTCTAAAGTAGAGTAGTAAGCTTATAAGGCCCTCTACAGCTAGGTTGTTAATCTAGGTAGTATGTAAGCTAAAGCAGCCCTTCTACACATTAAGCTTTAGCTAGATAAAAGACAGAAGCTTATCTAAAGGCGTAACAGCTATGTAAGAGATCTTAAAGTAGCTTATCTATAGTAGATAGCTAGCTATAGACCTTATAAACTTTTATAGTAGTAAGTTAAAGTAGTAGCTAACTATTTACTTTTAATTTTACTTACTTACTTACTAAATTTAATTTTTACTAACTTTTTTAAGCTTTACTAGCTTAGCTGCTTTACTATATAAAAAGTAAGTTTTTTTTTAAAATAAAATTTTAGTGTAACTATACGCCTTTACAACTTAGTTGCGCTAGGAGTTGTAAAAAAAGGCTGCTATATAATTACTTATGCTAGCCTTAATTAGCTATATGCAGTACTAGGCTAAGCACTTACTAAAGTTAGAAAAGAGCTTGTTGCCTAGGTTCTAGTAATAAAGTAGGTAAAAGGCTAGGCTACTAAGCATGTAAAGAATTAGCTTTTTATACTACAGCGCGCTTATTATTTTAAGCTAGCTATGCTAGTTCTACTTACTTACACAAGTAGTAAATATTAAAGGCATGTAGTGTGTAAGGCTTTCTATTTTAAACTTAAAAGTAAACAGGTCTAAAATCTCTATAAAACAGCAGTTACCTCTACACATAAGCATATAGTAGCCTAGCATAAGATTAACTAGTGTATAGAAGTAACACTTTACTGTTACTAAAGACAAGCTTGCGTCTGCGCTATTTATCTACAGCTTACTACAGAGCTGCTTAAACTTATCCTTAGTGTAGCTGTTAAGTAGCGTGTTTTTACTTTTATTAGCATACTGCTTTTAATCTTACTAGGCATCCTTACACTATAAAAACCTAAGGTACTCCCTTACACTGTCTACACATAGTAATAGGTAGCTATTTATGCCTAGCGCCTTCTGCTTTTACTAGAGGTTAGTAATAGCTATAATATAAGTATAAACTAAGTGCTAGGTAAAACATGTTTTATTTTAAAAAAACATTACTTTTTACTTTACAAAACCTAGTTTTTAAAAGCTAGTTTATAACTTTTTTAACTAAAAAAAGTAGTAGCTTTTTTTTTATAATAGTGCTACTATTACAGTACTGCTTTCTCTTACAAAACGCCTAGACACAGGAGTTAGCACAGACACAGACACACAGATAGGCAGGCAGGCAGGCAAGAATACTACCTTAAATTCCTTCTGCTTTAGAACATAGACCTAGTGCGTATTCTCTAGCTACTACTTGTAAATTATAGCTAGAATATAGTGCGCATTAGCGCGCAGCTTAGCGTTGTTTGCAATGTTAACGTCTGTGCGCTTGCAACGCGCCCTGCGCTGTAGACCCATGCTCGCGCCCCCTAAGTAAGTGTGTACAGTAAGGGAGGGTATGATGATGATGATGTCTTTATTACGCCCGGCTCTAGCCTAGAGGGCACTAGTGTGTTATTACCTAAGCGCTTCCTTAGTGATGGCTTAACTCCTTGTAGCCCTTACATGCCTCCTGCTCTGCTATCTAGTGTAGTTGTTATATATCCCTCTAATTATAATTTATAGCAAGTGTTCTTAAAGTCTTTTTTTTAAGTGTTTAAAGTTCTTTTATTAGTAAGTAAAGCAGAGCCTACTATTATATAAAGTTAGTATTAAGTGTCTCTTTTTTACTATTATCTTTATAGTTTTAGGTTTCTATCTTCTTTCTTACTTTAGGCAGCCTGTTGCTATTGCGTACCTAACTGTTATCTTTACTATGTTAATGTCTAGCAACTATTTTACTAGGTCTGCTAGTGCCTTTTCCTTTAGAAAAAAAAGAAGGTTTTCTTTTTTAGTCTTTATTTACTAAAGCATTTATATTTAAAGTGTGTCTTATTTTTAGCATTAGAAAAAAAAGTGCTAAATAGTTTCTTTTACCTAACTATATATGCACATGTTTAAGTCTACAGCTTTTATTTAGTTTAAGTATATATTTAGCTATGTTATTCTAGTTTATTAGCAGAGCTTGCTCTGCTTATTATATTCGGGTTTGCAGAACGAAAAGTTTAGCAGAATCTCCTCTTTTGGACGCGCTAGTTAGTCAGAATTTCTTCGGATAAACCCCGGTAACGCTGTTTCTCTGTTAGCTTATGTGTTTCTTATATTCTTTTTTAAAAAAAATGTATACCTAATGTAAGTGCACCTTTATGCTAATTTGCATGCAGTTTGCTCTAGCATGCGTTGTGTAAAACATATTTAAATTATGGTTAGTTGCGTCTGTTCCACCTCTCTAGCCACATCGGTGTGTCGGGG